TTGCTTTTAATACGGTATTATCTTGTCAGAATGGAGACGCTGCCCTTTGTGATTTCCAACGTCTGCTTTAGGCCTTCAGAACCCTTGAGTCAATGACTCTAATGGAGTTTTTAGTCTAATTTGGGTACAGTTTTGGCTACTAGTTAAAAAAGAAGTTGTGTATCAGTGCCATCGAAAAGTTCAGTGTTGTATAACTTGACTAGAGATTGATTTCTTTGCAAAAGCTCTTCTGTGTGGGGTCCAGCTTTCATTCTAGGGGGCAACTAGATATTTCTGGCAGCTTTTTAACTCATTTGCATCTGAACTTTAACCTTGTGGTTAGCTTGATTTTTTTTTTTTCTCCCAATGTACAGTTTTTGGAAAAGCACCTTTCATTTTCTGGGATTTTGCAGTTCCTTGGGCATGGGAGATATTCAGTAAATATTTATTGAATGGAATTGAATTTGACCTGCTTAGAATTCATAGTCCTGGTGTAGGTTATTCATTTTCAGCAGAAGCTCCCATCAGTCATGGTGCTTAATAGTAATCCAATCGATGAACTGCATGCAGTAGTTCCACATTGTGCCTTGCGCTTGGAGATGTGTAGCCTACAAAGCTTATTTAGCTGTCCTGTACCACTTACATATAATATAGCCTTGCTTACGAGCTTGCTGCTTAGCATGGTGCATTTTTCTTTGTAATTTTAGGTATGTTTCTATGGTCACTCTTGTGAGTATGCAGAAATGTTTCTTTGCTCCTACAGAATTTAGTAATGTCTTCCCTCCCAGCCCTAAATCATTCCCATAATACCTTAAGCCACCAAGCTTTCCCACTAGGCAGCTCCTTGAGGGCAGGATGTGATTTATTACTTTTGTATTCCTATTGCCTGAAACAATAGCTAACAGAATAAACTTTTGTTGAATTAAGAAATGGGTCTTGAAGTTCCTGTACATTTGCAAATGTAATAAAATTAAAATGGAAATGAGTTTAGAAGGGATCATTAATTACATGCATAATTCTAATTAAATTGCTATATAGTTAGAAGTAGCAGCCTGAGATTTAGATGATGTAGGCTTTGTGCCTATTGGATTAATGATTTTTTAATAGTCCCTTCATCTTTGTAGTTGTTAGTTTCCTTAACTGGAAATAAATGGATTGGATAGGATCTTTACTAAGATCCCTTACAGCAAGAATTACATTGCTCTCAGGTTAATTATAGAGAAGTAGGTTTCTTCTGCCATGTTTCTTCTTCCTCCATAAGGCAGGAAGTATATTCTAGTCATCTGTAATTTCCTGGCACTAAGCTCAGTGCCTGGTATATAGAGAAGTTACTCAAGCAGTTTCACCCAATAAAGTAATACCTTCCCACATGAATTTACAGTTTTAAGCACAACAAATGAGTAAAAGGTCAAGTAGAGAATAGAATTAAATATATATAAAACTTAAAAATATGTCTGTCAAAGAATAGTAATTTGGAATACCTGAAAAAACCTGAGAGAAACTTTTTATTAATTAGTTTAAAGGTAGAAGAAATGCATTTGACACTGCCGTGTCCCTTAACTACAAGTTAATAATTTATTGGTCTTTACTGTGTTGTCCATGTTGCTGAAATGAAACTGTGCTGTAGGAGGTTGGTGGCCATGTTCTTGAAATTTCTGTGTACTCCAAGAGCATCTTCTGGATTAAAGAATTGTAGATCCATGTCTTACTTCAAGCAGGATTTGTTGTGTCATTGACAATTGGAACTTCATCTGTCCTTAGGGCAGAATATGCTTCTCTGAGCATATCCATGTATCACAAAAATAAAAAGCAGTAGAAAAACTATCAGCACTTTCAGTTGTACTTTATAAATATTTGATATTTATTATAATATCAAATATTGTAAAGGAGAAGCCATCCTCTCTTTGCAAGGAGTTGCTTGGTGATTAAGATAAAATTATATTTAAACCAAGCCTGAACCTTGGAGTTACCTGTTTGAATTCAGTTATAAAATAGAGGAAGTAATGCAGTTGAACTCTTTATACAAAATTTTTTTTGTGTGTATATATATTCATTAGTTATGTTCCATGTGTAAACAGTTCCTTTTTGACACTGTATACAAGGTGGAGAAGCTATAACATCTTTTTTTTTTTTTTTCCTGGTACTGGGGATTGAACTCAGGGCCTTGTGCTTGCCAGGCAAGCACTTGTTCTACTCAGCTCTCTTCCCGGCCCCTATAACATCATGTTTAGTGGAAGCCTTAATTGTCATAATTTCTGACGCTTGGTAATCTGAGCCAGATCCCCTCCCAATACACGCGCACGCATGCACATGTACACAATGATTTCTTTTCTTTTTTGTTTGTTTGGTTTTTTTTTTTGCAGAACCGGGAATTGAACTCTGGCCCTTGCACTTGCCGGGGAAGTACTTACTCCACTAAGCCATCTCCCCAGCCGACAGTGATTTCTTAAAGATAGTATAAGTGTTCTTTTTTTCATTTGTTATTTGTGTACTTTACTATATTTGTGGTTTTTGAGATTATTACAGTTTAGCCAAGGACATAGTTCAATGCAGAGTGCCTGCATGGTGAGTGTGAGATCCTGAGTTCGAATCCTGCCCTCCTTTCCCCTCAAAAAGAAGATTATTAGAGTTTAACTGTTTTCCAGGGGCTGGGAAGATAACTCACTAGAATAAGTGCTTGTCTGGCAAGTGCAAGGGTGTGAGTTCAATCCCCAGTTCTGCCAAAATAAATAAATAAGTAAATAAATAAATAAATATTTTCCATTTGTCCTAGGGAATTCTATACTTATCCAGGGGTAGACCCATGTTTTGTGGGACTACAGAAAAGTACAAAATATGGGATGACAGTATATTTTCTCAGGAATGAGAAAAATTCACTACAACTACGAATGTTAAAAGGCTGTTAATCTGTGAATTCCAGTGAAATAGGCTAGATTAGTTTTGGGGTCTGAACATTTTCTGTTTAATTCTTTCCATTACCCACATACACTGCAATCGTCAGTACGGTGAGATATGTTCATATTACTAGATTTGAAGACATCTTTTGGCTCAGCACCATGGGATTTTGAAGGATTCCTGAAGACATTCTTTTTTTAGTTGTAATTTTAAAAGAATTTTTATTGTTTATAAACTACCAGGGGTGAGAGGAAGTGGATAAAATTAAGTCTAGAAGTACAAAATTACAGTTAGGTAGGATAAACAAGTCTAAATAGCTAATATATAGCATGAGGACTATGTTAATAATATTGTGTTGTACATTGAAAAGTTTCTAAAGAAATAGATTTTAGGTAACAGACGTAAAAATAAAAGGTAATAGACCTGTTACTTTGTTTGAATATAATCATTTGACTATAATTACATATACACAAATATGCTATGTCTTCAATATATATAATAAAACTTTTAAAATTACAACTAAAAAAATCACTTTGTTTCTACTTTCTTGACTTAAAAATATTAGGTTTTTGTATAAGTGAGATCATGTAGTGTTTCTTTCTGTGCCTTCCATGTTGCAGACTGCTGACAGTAATTTAAGTATTTGCAGAAAGACTGCCTACCTCAGCTGTCCTCAAAATGCTGTATAAGGATTTTATCTCTTGAGCAGGGCAGATTGGCTCAGGCCTATAATCCCAGCACTCAGGGGGCTGAGGCAGGAAGATCGCTGGGAGTTCCAGGCCAGTCTACATAGCAAGACCCTGTAAAGACCAAAACCCAAACCAAACAAAAAGTATCTCCAACTCAACTTCCTGTCAACCAGATGTGAGAAATGCCCTTGGTCACTGCGGCACCACCCGATGTTTTCAAGGTTAAATGTCATAGAGGGAAGTCATACTACAAAAGGGCGCAGACTTCATTCCCTTGGCTTTAAAATATTTTTTCTCTTAAAACCTTTCCAAACACATACAGGGTGTGGGCTTTCAGAGAGGGCCACTTAACTGAATGACCCAGAAGTTTCCTTCCCTCTCCTCAGTAAATCTTTCACGTGTAGATGTAACCATGGCACAGGTGTGCACTGTAAACCCTGTATGCTGCTGTGCAAATACTGAAGACTTTGCTTTAAACAGTTGTTTAATTGGAGAGTTCTTGGTGCCCTCGTAGCAGGTGTAAAAGCAGTGGGCTTGTTTATTTTCAGCCAGTCACACCAACATCTAGAAGTGAATACAGCACCTAGTTGAATTGCTGTCTTTCTGCTGCCATAAAGTATTTTCAGGGTTTTTTCGGTCTTTTTGAGACAGAGTCTCACTGTGCAACTCAGGCTGGCCTTGAGCTCACTTTGTAGTCCAGGCTGGTCTCAAATTTGCAAAGATCCTCCTGCCTCAGCCTCCTGAGTCCTGGGGTTGTGGGCATTTGCCACCACACCCTGCTTTTGGTATTTTCAGTTCTATAGGAGTCCTAAGTGCCCTTGTAGTCTGGTACCACCTAACACACTGACAGACAGTTATGTTCTGCATGTTTATAGGCCTGCTAGACATGGGGGTGAAGTGGAACAGGCTCGTTCTGACCTGACACCATTTAACTACTTAATAACTCAGTTGTTAAAATTATACTTCTTTGTTCTGTTCTCCTGGGGGTTCAGAAACAATGTGCCAGAACGTTAATTAAAGTCTGTGAGAGAGCTTTCACAGTGATTGTAGTGTAGTAAATAATGTCTGAGTGTGAGCCTTTGGTTGTCCACTGAGAAGGACGTTTCCTCATTTTTAATCAAAAAAGACAGTTCTATACTGTGATATCTACACAGTGGTTAGCATGTGGGAGCTCTGTGAGGCTGGGGTACTGCAAAGGGAACTAAAAGCTTTTGGGATTGAAGATAAGAGCGTGGTACAGAAGTCTGCACAAGACAAGAAGCAGATAAGAAAGTAGTAGAAAAATACAGTTCTTTTTCACCTGGAGTTAGTAACTTATTGTTGTAATTTATATTATGGAATATGAAAAAGTAGTTATTTCTGTTCATTTCTCATTTTGCTGTGAAAGGAAATAGTATGGTTCATGTAAAAATACTTTACTTTTGTCTTTGTTTTTAGGTAAGACTGTGTCAAAATCCCAAACTCCAGTTGAAAAATAGCCCGCCATATATACTTGATATTTTACCTGATACTTACCAGCATTTGCGGCTTATATTGAGTAAATATGATGACAACCAAAAGCTTGCCCAACTGAGCGAGAATGAATATTTCAAAATCTACATTGATAGTCTAATGAAAAAGTCAAAGCGAGCAATAAGACTTTTCAAAGAAGGCAAGGAGAGGATGTATGAAGAACAGTCACAGGACAGGTAAGAATACTTCGGACTTCACAATGAAGGTCATGTATGTTGTTTTTTGTCTCATAGTTGACACAGATGTCACCATGTGCTTCCTTTCAAGGAAATGCCATCTGTTTTATTTACTTTTCCCTCTGAGTTTTACAGAAATTTGTGATGCTAGCCAGTTTATAAAACAGTATTCAAAGTTTTCTAATAGACTTTCATTCCAGGGCAGTTTTCAGTTCACAGAAAAAATTGCTCAGAAATAGAGTTCTTTGTGTCCAGTTTTGCTTACTAGCAGCCCCTCCAATTCACATCTTGCATTACTGTGGCATATTTGTTGGCACTGCTGAACCAAAATTGGTCCCTTGTTATCAACATTGCGTCTAGAGCTTGTATTAAGGTTGGCTGTTTTTATTCTGTGGTTCTCAGAAATGTGTAACGTCATCTGTCTGTTGTGGCCGTGACAGGAACTGGATTCTTTTACTTATATATGTTTAAGGTTCTTCATGTCTTTTCATAGCTTGATAGTTCATTTCTTTATGTTACTGAATAATTGCTCCATGATACGGTTATAGCCCAGGGTTTTTTTTTTTTTTTTCCCTCTCATATATGGAAAAGCATCTTAGTTATTTCGAATTCTTTTGGTAGTTGTGTATAAAGGTGCTATAAATATTTGTATGCAGTTTTTTGTATACACTTATGCTTTCAACTCATTTGGATTTTATAATGGAAAATTTAGTTTTCTAGATATATAGACCCTAAATACTGTCCAAACAAATAGCTACAACAGATAAAACTATTAAATTGAAACACAGGAAAAAAACCAAAAACTTTTGATAGAGGTTAAATACCATAAATGTTTTATATATTTAAAATTTGCTTGTAGACTGGAGATGGACTCTAACATACTTATCTAATCAGTTGTGTAACTGAGCTCATCACGGAACATTCTTAGACCACAGTTTGTATACTTCTGTAGGGTGGTAACTCTTCCTGTCGCCTTTATTTTTAAAACTCTTAAGACTGTCTCCAGAACCACCAACCAGAATCTGAATTGCCACTACTTGGTAAAGAGGTATTATAATGGTTGTTTATTCTTCTAGGCTGTTCATGATAACTAAAGTTACGGAAAACCAGATGTTCGTTTATTTATTTATTTGGTACGCAGCTCAGACTCATAGTGGTCCTCATGTCTCAGCCTCCCCACCACTGGGATTACAGGCATGCACTACCATGCCTGGTCCTGGCATGGCACGCCCGGGGGCTGGGCCAGCGTAGCATGTGGTGCCTGGTCCCTACGTGTGCCTAGGCATGCGCTTCGTCTCCTGAGCTATATTGACAGCCCTCAAATATTTAAAACTTTCTTCTCTTTGTAGTCCTACAATTTATTTACTAAAACAAGGTTTATTTATGTATGCTGTAGTACTCAAATTTAGTATTACTGGAGTTCTTGATTTAGCCAAGCAGTCCATTAAATTTTACTTTGTATAGAATATCAGGATTTTCACGGTCTAGGAATTTCAATGCACACAAAGTTTTAGTTTGATGAAGTAAGAATTGGTGAACATTTTTAATAGAAATATAAAATACTTTTTAACACATATGGTATAATTACCATTAATTTACAAATTTTTAACAATTTTGTTTTAGGGCCAGGGAGATAACTCAGTGGAATAAGCACTTCCCTGGCAAGAGCATGGGCCTGAGTTCAATCCCTAGTTCCACAAAAAAAAAAAAAAAAGTTTTGTCTTTTTAGGAAGCATTTATTTCAGGGAGACGTTTCTAGAAGTTGATTGTGTATGATAGATCATATGATGTTGGCTGATCATGAGGTCATGACTCTATAAAGTCTTTGCATTCATATTTGCATCTTACGTGTCCATGTGAGTTTTTTCATTCTCTCCTAAATGCAAACATAAGATAGAATTTGTTAGTTAATTGGATTTTACTATTATCCATTTTTCATTTTCTGATGGTGTTTTGTGGCCAGCATTTTTAAAGCAAACCCTGTGTTAGGTAATTGTCCTAGTTATTTTTCTTGTTGCCGAGACAAAACACCCAACACCCACAAGCTAAGGGAGGGAAGGGTTAGTTATCTTGCAGTGTGTAGAGGTTATCTCACTGTCCATAATCAGCTGGCTGCAAGGTAGGGTGGCGTTGCAGAGGGCATCACAAAGGAGAAACAGCTTATGCCAGGAAGAAGATAGCAGAAGCAAGGGAATGACTGCAGCTCCTCCCGTCCGTTGTATCTTATCCAGGGTGCTCAGGACAGGTGCCACTCACACCCTTAAGCCTAGCACCCTTGGTCCTTGCATTGCAAGGTTCATTTCTCTCTTTGCTGTGAAAGGAAATAGTATGGTTCATGTAAAAATACTTTACTTTTTTTACACTCTAGATCCAACCATCTCTGAGAAAGCCCCTTCTGTGATGGCATGAGGCTTTGAGGGGACATCCAGACACAAATCATAACAATCATTGTCTAATCACAGTTCACAATAATGTACAATTCTTGGTGTGAGGATATAGATTGTTGTCTTATACCAGTATAGTTGTACACATTCACTCCTAAATTCCCTTAGGATTCTAAATGCAAACTGGCATAAAATGTGCTGTTGCGCATGGAACTCTCTGGTGTTTTGCTCCATAGAGCATAACACACTGCTTAGAAAATCTTCATGGTGCTTAGGTAGCACAGTATATTGTTGACTAGGAAGACTGCTGAACATATAAGACATTAATTATTATTAAGTTGTAAATTCTCTGAATAATCTTTTCATTCTGCAAATAACTCAAGGCTGTTAGTAACACTAAGCTAAACTGAACGATAGTGATAGCAGAAATAGTAATTTGGAGTTCATTGACTGAACAAGCATTGCCTCAAGTGATTTTGTGCTTTATTAGAAAAATTTTGCTGGTTGAGTAGATGAATCAAGATGTCTCATGTTACCCCATCTGTGTTATACCAATATTAAACCTCTTTCTCAAAGAATTTCACAGTTAAGTATAAATGGAAAAAGTTCAAGCATTCTGGAACTGACTCTTGTTTTAATTGATTGCTAAAGTATATCACCTGAGTTTTAAAGCTCGTCTCCATAAACTTAATTTATATTAAATATAATAAGTAGAAAAATACAATTTAAAAAATAAGTGGCACTCAGTATATTTCCTAGTTACTCAGGACCTGTGGAAAGAATGAGACAGAAATTATAGTTAGACAAATGTGAAAAAGACAGTAGAAAAATGCCAAAATACCCATCTAAGGAACAATGGAAACCTCTGGCCTTGTGCATGGGCAGAGTGATGACTTCTGGTGGAGGAGGAAGCACCCTCATGGCTGTGTGCCACCTTTGAATGTGAGGAGCGAAGTGCCTTCTCTTGCACTCCTTTTCCACATGGGTCTTAACTATTTATCGTTTTTGCGCAAACAGTTGAACCCCACATTGACTTGATGCTTCTTTAGCTGAGTGTTTAAAGTGTGCTGAGCTGGCATCTCTGAGGATGGTGATTCAGTAATTTCGGGCGTACACCAAGTTCTTTTTTTTTTTTAATTTTCCCATTTATTTTATTTTTTTTTTTATTTTTTTAAATTTTTTTTTTCAAATTGGTAGAACAGTTTCAATAATTAACGCATTGCATACATTCTTCCTAGTGGTTAATTACTGTACAAGATGCGGACATGATATCCTATTTACAAACACCATTAGAACAAATCCCTTTATTCATTAAGAGAATGTAACTATATATCTATCCTAACCACTTTGAATACACAGAAAAGAAATGGACATTCATCTGTATACCCTTTTTTTGTTAAGTTCTGTTATTTGAATATTATAGGTATGTAAACTGAGCAAAATATTCTAAAACGGTCCAGCAGCCCGTAATAGTATTGGGTCTTCTGCTTGACTGGCAATGTCAGAAATTGTTGACCTGAGACCCCTACAGCTCAACATAACAGCATGGCTTTACTTCTTATATATCATTTTTATACTTTTCTGCTGGATGGTTAAGACCAAGATAAAGCAGGACCTATGCAACAAGGGTTGTAGCTTTTGGGTCTGATAAGGTCAGTGAAATCCCCTCAGGATTTATCCTGAGATCCTGTACCTCAGATTTAGAACCTTTGTCAGTGTCAGCCATGTGGATGAGTCACAGCCGTTGCTTGGCCAATGTGCTTTCTGAGAAAGCCTGAGTGAATGTTTTCTCTCCATGTGACTCTCCTTAGGCACACTTTACATCATCGATCACTTTCCTCTTTGGCCCCATAATCTCCTTGATCAGAAAACTTCAGATACTACCGAGTTATATGACGTTACAGTACAAGTTCTCATATGTCCTGAGTCTTAATTGACCTTAGAAGGCTAGGGCCAGATGTTGGCTTTCCTTGCAGCCCTCCTTTTTCTCTAATTTTGGTCTGCAAACTTAGGTTGTTAACCATCCAGAAGACAAGCTTATTGTTATTACCATACAACTTAGGCTGTTAAGCTTAACCTTACTATCTGTCTGCATATGAAGCATCTTAGGCATAATATGGAACAGGTATTTTTCCTCAATTATTGATATGTTGAACTTTAAGTACCTACAGAGTATGATAAAAATATTTAAAAATTAGAATATATTTTTAAAATAGGCATAAAGAATTATATACTTATTATGTTTACACTTAAGTCCAAAAATCTCACCATATACAACCCTGAAGCAGGACAGTCTCACAATATTCCTTTTCCTGTCTCTTGTTTTCATTCACCACCCCCTTCTTCTTGAACAACCATCTGCCTGAGAGACATCATAGCAGCAACTGGTATGTCATGACAAGCAGCCCGTATTCAGAAGACCAGAATGACAGGCACTCCAAGCATGAAACTAATATTACAAAATACCATCTGCAGTGCAGTAGCTTAATTCACAGGTATCAGTATATATAGTTAGTCAGGGTGAGAATCTTTCCAATTAACTGCTAGATTAAAAAAATCTT